CTGCCTTGGGTCACCGACAGGTCAGTCCAACAGAACCTGTTAAATAATTCAGGTTCTGCACAGGAAGCCTGGGACCCACATGTCGCACACAATGAGGACGCACATGATACTAAACTCCAGCCAGGCGAATCACAAATCATCATCAGCCGCTGACGCACCGTGAACCTAAACGACCCGACATGAGTAAAAAGATAAATTAAGTCTGGGGTAGAAGAGAGCAGGAGCCGGTGATGCTGAGGTTTGAAGATTTTATTTTAATCTAATGTTTAAGTAGTGCTCGAATAATTAAAGACACTTGCTGATTATGCAGTCCAATATTTTGCACAGTGGCCCATCTTCTTAAATCATTAGGATGTGAAGCAGATGCACGCCATATAAATGCTTAAAACAATACAAGATGACTGAAAGACATATACAATTTTAAACAATGCTAAAACTCCAAAACCTGTAAAAAAATTTTTTTAAAAATAAAAGAGAAATGATAAATAAGTGGTAATGAGGTGATCTAGAGACAAGCTCACATCCAGAAAGCAAAAAAGTAATGAAAATAGAAGAGGAATTTAGATTTTTTTTAAATAAAAAAAATCTAGCAGAAAAAAATCAGTCACCATTAAAAAAACAGATGAGATCAAAGTCTTGTCTGGGGCACCAAATGTTGGTCTTTGATCAAAATTTATACTGCCTTTAGCTTTAAATAGATTATTTATACCAAGGACAGTGAATTTTTATGTAACTTGTAGCCCAAAGTCAAGACGTACTACTGGCCTTTAGCCATTTTTACATTATTGAGTCTGAATCTTCTTAAATAAAAGTTTTAGATGTTCACCACAGACCAGTACATGTTCCAGTTGCATACTTGAACGTTTTATTCAATCTAAAGAAAATGACATTCAGAAATATAAAACTGGATTACAGTTAAACACATCAGATGGATGTATCAATGTAAACTCACGAAGAATAAAAGCTAGCAATCAGGAACCCGCAGCATGAAACTAGTAAAAGGAATTTTATGGGAAGAAACTTGTCTCAACACAAACTGAATTTAAACTGCTCAGGATGAATCTGTATTTGCATAATGTGAAATTAAAGGCATTGGTTTGAAAATGAATTTCACTAAATTGAAAGTGAATTTAATGGTTTGAATCTGACTTAATTTTCTTTGAAATTGTATTTTGTTGTAATAAAAATTCAGTTGGATTAATTTCACCTTCAGTGCTATAATTCAATTTCAAAATTCAGTTTTTTTGTGTTACACATCCGGTTGCTTGAGAAAGCCAGAGTAGAAAAAAAAATGACACGTTTACGTTATAGAACCAAAATAAAATCCCTGACCTCCTTTCTGACCGAGGCCTCAAGTTATTTGACAAACGCCAAAAAATTCTACAGGAAGAAGAAAATAAAAAGACGAGCTGTGGACAGGTGGGCCGAGCCGCAGTCAGAACATTTGCAGAGAGAGGAGGGAAGCTCAAAAGCAAAGATGGAGGGCGGAAAAACAATCTGAGACAGAGTGAGGACTTTGAAAAGGAATTAGGCAAACATAATTTGGATTAGAAGAGGAAAAAGATGAGGAGCGCCATGCTTATGCATTAGCCATGGAAGCAAAGATACCCTGTATCAGGTTATAGCTCTGGGTGCTAGTTTCCACCTGTAGTCCCTGACCCAGCCCACACAATATTATAAAATAAAAAAAAACATTATTAAAAAGGCACCATAAATATACAATGACTAAAGTTAAACGGTTAATTGCACATGATACAATTTTGCCCAACCCTGGTTTAAGCAACTGATTAGAGCTGTTTACAAGTTGAAGGCTGGTTCAAGCTCGACTTATAGCTGATATCTTGGATGTATAAATCTGAATTTTGTGAAATGAGCCCCAGTTTAGCTCAGCAAAAAGCAGAATAAACTGTTTAGATTAGCAGAAAACTAAAATCCTAAGTTAGCTTAGAACAAAGGTAAAATATTAGCTGTCATCATACTTCACAAGTATCTTATCAAAACTTTAATACAAAAACGAAAACCCAGAAAAATAAACTATCCCTTCAGTGTAGTTGATTTTGTTGTTACAATTATGAAATTTATTCAAGGGTGTAAACAAACATCAGTGCTGCTGATGAAATTCAGTGGAAACAGAATCTTTCTTATACAGTTACCGTAAGCGATTATAAGTATTTATTAAGAAGCTTTTGACATCTTGTGAATATTTTCTAACCTTGCAGGAAGCTTAATAATCATCCGATGAGTTTAAACCGACGCAGGAGAGAAATGAGTGTGAGCATCAAACTTCGGCATCAGCTGAATTAATCAGGAGCCTTGGAGAGCTCTTCAGTGTGCAGGCTAACATAATATCTAATGACTCCGAGTCGGAGCACACCATGTCCCTGCTTGAACTTTAAACACTTGAGAAACATAAGGAGTAAAAGCGGGAAAATAACACTCTGTACCCATTACCCTTCGGTGGAAGTTCAGGCTGAAGTCGTATGAAGAATATAAAGAGATGAGCCCCTCAGCAGATTTAAAGTTGCAAAACTAATTCCAGGAACGAGAATTCGGTGTAGATTCTCCGTATTTGCAGACTGTGGTATGCCGTTCGAGTGTGAGCAGTGTTTGGGACTCGGTGATCGTGCGGTGAGCCCTCACTTTATGCAGCTGTCAGGTATTCCCAGGTGCCCTTTAACACATCACACAGTTTGCACAGCAGGCAAGGCCATAGGTTCACATCTACAATTCAAAGCAGCTTCGCTCAAACGTAGGCTCCCGAGTAATAGACTACTGTCACTGATGAGTCCCCGAGGTGCATGGAGTGAATCCTTTCTCACATCCCTATCGATTTGCCCGGGAGTCCTACCTGATTTACATCGACGAGAACACCAGGGCCCAAATGAAAGTAAGCATGTTTCAAAACGGTAAACACAAGGGATCCGCCTCTTGCTGCGCAAACAAATGAGGCGAGCACTCAGGTTTGAACAGAAAACTGGTACAAAACTGCTGACTAGACTACTTTTGTTTATGTTTTCTAATAAAATACGCAATAAAGTAATTTAATGAGATTTGTCATAATCTTGAGTGCATTTGCATTTAAATAACAGACTTTAGGTTTATACAATATACAATTAATAGATTTACAAAAGCTTAAGTACAGCGGGTAAAATAAGTATTGAACATGTCAACATTTTTCTCAGTAAATATATTACTAGAGGTGCTAATGACATGAAATTTCCATCAGATGTCGGTAACAACCCAAGTGATCCATACATACAAAGAAATCAAACCATAAATGTCCAGAAATGAAGTTATTTGTAATAATGTGGAATGGCACAGGGAAAAAGTATTGAACACACTTACTGAAATTTATCTAATACTTTGTACAAAAGCCTTTGTTGTCAATGACAGCTTCAAGACGCCTCCTGTATGGAGAAACTAGTGGCATGCATTGCTCAGGTGTGATTTTGGCCCATTCTTCCACACAAACAGTCTTCAAATCTTGAAGGTTTCGTGGACCTCTTCTATGAACTCTGATCTTTAGTTCTTTCCATAGATTTTCTGTTGGATTCAGGTCAGGTGATTGGCTGGGCCATTCCAGCAGCTTTAGTTTCTTTCTCTGAAACCAACTGAGAGTTTCCTTGACTTTGTGTTTGGGCTCATTGTCTTGCTGAAATGTCCAGCCACGTTTCATCTTCATCATCCTGGTAGATGGAAGCAGATTTTTATCAAGAATGTCTCTGTACATTTTTCCATTCATCCTTCCTTCAATTATTTGAAGTTTGCCAGTACCATATGCTGAAAAACAGCCCCACACCATGATGTTCCCACCTCCAAACTTCACTGTTGGTATGGTGTTTTTGGGCTGATGTGCAGTGCCATTTGACCTCCAAACATGATGTGTATTCTGGCATCCAAACATTTCAATGTTGGTCTCATCTGACCAGACTATATTCTCCCAGTATTACACAGGCTTGTTTAAATGTTGTGCAGCAAACTTTAAAGGAGCTTCAACATGCTGTTTCTTCAGCAGTGGAGTCTTGTGTGGTGAGCGTGCATACAGGCCATGGTGGTTCAGTGCATTACTTATTGTTTTCTTTGAAACAATCATACCTGCTAATTCCAGGTCTTTCTGAAGCTCTCCACAAGTGGTCCTTGGCTCATGGACAACTCTTCTGATAATTCTTTTCACTCCTCTGTCAGAAATCTTGTGAGGAGCACCTGGTCGTGGTCGGTTTATGGTGAAATAATGTTCTTTCCACTTCTGAATTATGGCCCCAACAGTGCTCACTGGAACCTTCAGAAGTTTAGACATTCTTCTGTAACCGATGCCATCATTATGCTTTGCAACAATAAGTTTGTGAAGGTCTTGAGAGAGCTCTTTACTTTTACCCATCATCAGATGGTTCTTGTGTGATACCTGGCCATCATTTGGGACTGAACCAGCTGATATTAACTTGCACTGACAAGGGGCAGGCTTGCTTTCTAATTACTGAGAGAGTTCAGCTGGTGTCTTGGCTTTCCATGCCTTTTTACACCTCCCTTTCTTCATGTGTTCAATACTTTTTCCCTGTGCCATTCCACATTATTACAAGTAACTTCATTTCTGGACATTTATGGTTTGATTTCTTTGTATGTATGGATCACTTGGGTTGTTACCAACAACTGTTGAAAATTTCATGTCATTAGCACCTCTAGTAATATATTTACTGAGAAAAATGGTGACGTGTTCAATACTTATTTTATCCGCTGTATATAGTGGTTTTGGCATTTTTGTTCATAAAAAAGAAAATTTTCATGTGAATTGAAATTTTTACTTTTTCATGACTTTCAAGTGTGCTAAGCAATTCAAAAGAGTATTTTTGTTTAAAGGTTTTCAAGTGTTTTAAAACATTTTTTTACTTCCGTGTCATGCTTTTAAATACACATATGAACAAATTACAGAGCAGATGATTTATACATGTATATACAACTGTGTTTCATCAGGTGTGGTTAAAAGCAACTAAAACATGACTCACCAAGACGATTTTTCTGGAGCTCTGACAGCTTTTTAGTCACAACTTCAGATTGGTTTTGTCTGACAACAAAAACAAAAAAATGTGTGACTGACAACAGCTTTGCTTTTCAGTTCTTACAGAAAGTGAAGCAAACATGTAAAAAAACTGGCACCAAACAGAATAAAAAATACAAACATCACGCTTTAGTAAATATGCTATTTGGTGCATGAAATCATCTTGAAACATTTAACAGCTTGTTTTTTTCTGGGGTTTTTTTTTTTGGAAACTTTTCCTCACAACAATGAACATGAATGAATTTATTGAACAAAGTGAATCATAAGCACAAACTTTTTTTTTTAAATGTGTAAAGTGAACTTTAAATTAGCATTTTCGTTCTTCTCTGGTTTGTACACTATCAGGGTTTGGTTGGAATGAGTTTTCCCACTTAAAGTTTCATTTTGTTCACAGATTAATAATAACTCAAAGTGAATTGGTGAGTTAGCGGGTCAGTTCACAGTGTGACACAGAGAGCCACAACATCTGGGGGACCAAACCAACAGATGGATTAAAAGCAACAGTCTATTAGATGTCAGCTCATTTAGGAGTCAGTATCAACCTCTGGTATTAAAAATGAAAGGCTTATGATTCCTTGATGGAATGCACATCACCCGCCGCTTTTCAAGTTTAGGACTAAAATGGTTCTACGTTAAGAAATGAGTTAAGAGGAAAGAGCTTCAAAACTCGTTTAGTGCTTAAAGACAGCGAGAGGAACATTTAGTTTAAATTTTTTTTCTGAGCACATAAAATTATTCCTGTGAATCTGTCAGAGAGGCAGATGAGGCGGTGACAGTGATGTAATTATGTTGTTGGTGTCGGCTCGGCGTGGCGCGAGCGTCGACGGAGCCGTCAGCTCGAGGGAAATGTGAGTTTGAAGAATGTCAAGGATTTTAGTTTCACTGCTGAAAAAGACGACAGATTTTTGGAAATGTCACTGTGTAAACATATTAAAAAGGTTACGCTTCATCAGTCACGTGCACGTCGATGAGCGTGTGAACACCCACACACATACACACACACACACACACACAGGCCACACCAGTAAATGACCTTTTGTCTAATCATTGCTTTTGAGTAAACAACGACAAACGGCGTCTTCATGAATCCCACAGACACCTAAATTACTTCCACCGCATCGTAATTTCTGCTTTCAAATGGCAGAAAAATGCAAAGCAGGAGTGGGAAAAATTAGCCATGAGCAGAAAATAACAAAAACAGGAGAGGAAAGCACTCAAATTTTTCTCAGAGCTGTAATTTTACCACCATTAAAATGCTGTCCTACCCCCAACTCCCCCTTCCAAAAACAGATACTGAACAGAACTGGCAGCTTTTACAACAGAACAAAGCTTCTGTGGTGTACACGGATGCATCACTCAGCCTCCCGCTTCCACTTCCATTTCTGCATATCCTAAATTGTATTTAATAGCTTCAATCAGAGCAGAGAGAGAGAGAGAGCATTCCTGCTGCTAATGCAATATTTGTGTTTGAAGAGGGGACTTTGTGAGCGAACCATCAGTCCCTTTGCCATTAACGTTGCATTACATGTCCCCCCCCCCACCCC